TCCACTCTACACCTGTGCACTTACTGTGGGTTTCAGATGCCGTTAGCGGGCCTTCGCGGGCTCGTGAAAGCGTCTGGGCCTGCGTTTATTACAAACTCTTATCAGTATCAGAATGTGTATTGCGATGTAACGCATCTATATACAACTTTCAGCAACGGATCTCTTGGCTCTCGCATCGATGAAGAACGCAGCGAAATGCGATAAGTAATGTGAATTGCAGAATTCAGTGAATCATCGAATCTTTGAACGCACCTTGCGCTCCTTGGTATTCCGAGGAGCATGCCTGTTTGAGTGTCATGAAATATTCAACCTATAAACCTTTGCGGGTTTATCAGGCTTGGACTTGGAGGCTTGTCGGCCCAGCTGGTGTCGGCTCCTCTCAAATGCATTAGCTTGATTCCTTGCGGATCGGCTCTCGGTGTGATAATTGTCTACGCCGCGACCGTGAAGCGTTTGGCGAGCTTCTAACCGTCTCGCATGAGACAATTCATTGACCTCTGACCTCAAATCAGGTAGGACTACCCGCTGAACTTAAGCATATCAATAAGCGGAGGAAAAGAAACTAACAAGGATTCCCCTAGTAACTGCGAGTGAAGCGGGAAAAGCTCAAATTTAAAATCTGGCGGTCTTTGGCCGTCCGAGTTGTAGTCTGGAGAAGTGCTTTCCGCGCTGGACCGTGTATAAGTCTCTTGGAACAGAGCGTCATAGAGGGTGAGAATCCCGTCTTTGACACGGACTACCAGTGCTTTGTGATGCGCTCTCAAAGAGTCGAGTTGTTTGGGAATGCAGCTCAAAATGGGTGGTGAATTCCATCTAAAGCTAAATATTGGCGAGAGACCGATAGCGAACAAGTACCGTGAGGGAAAGATGAAAAGCACTTTGGAAAGAGAGTTAAACAGTACGTGAAATTGCTGAAAGGGAAACGCTTGAAGTCAGTCGCGTCGTCCGGAACTCAGCCTTGCTTTCGCTTGGTGCACTTTCCGGTTGACGGGCCAGCATCGATTTTGACCGTCGGAAAAGGGCTGGAGTAATGTGGCACCTTCGGGTGTGTTATAGACTCTGGTCGCATACGGCGGTTGGGATCGAGGAACGCAGCGCGCCGCAAGGCAGGGGTTCGCCCACTTTCGCGCTT